AGTGTAAAATTGCATTTACACTACCAACTTTTACACTATCCCCTTGAAGATGCTCTTAGGGTCCGTTCTTTACGAATAAAAAATATAAATCACCCTATGTAACACTCTAAAACACATAATATTACGCATATAACACTCCTAATTGTTTTTCACACATTTAGCTATTTATGGCGTGGATCTCTTACAAACATACCCTTTTTTGGCAGTGTGGAATGGTCGTGTTATGCATAGACTTTCTGGCAGTGTGTTATGCCCATGTTTTGGACAATGTGTTAAGTTGGTAGCAGGGATGGGTTTCAAGCCCTTGGGCTAGGAAAGTACTATGAAGGAAAACCCAACCTAGCTGGTTCCCTGGTTCAATGGGACAACCTACTTATAGGATGAAGCACGGTCGCTATGGGGGTAGTACTGGTACCTACGGCTAGTCCCTTTCGTTCCTACTGATGACAGTGACTCCTAAATATGATGAGGTTAGCATATAAATATGCTTTAATGATTCTTAACCAATAAACGCAGTAGTCTAAGCGGAGTAATCGGGATACACTTTAAAGAATCACATATGTAAGAGTGAAGTATGGTCGCTTCAAGCTAAGGATTCCGTGCTTAATCCTCTAAACACTCTCGCAGAACCAGGTGCGTGTCCCACGACCAAAATGGGCACAACCATGAGAACAGAACGGCATTTGGTTGGAATCTGTGTATGGTATGCTATCATTTACACAAACGGCAGTACAGTTCAAAGACATCACATTCTACTGAACAGTTAGTAAAGAAGGTATACCTTGCAAGGGAAAGGTTCAAAAGTGGTGACACTTGCCTGTTCTGGGCAGGTTTTCAACAGTGGGATGTTGTCGACCCCCAAATCAATTATTCATTCATGTGGGGGATTGTTGGAATTTTTGCCTTTTTAATAGGCATTAAATGTACCAACTTTGGACATAATTATCAATAGGACCACTAACAGTTTCAACTGTCAATTAATAGACATGTGTTCTCTTAGAAAAAAGAGATAAATAAATATTTTGATATATTATAAGCCAAAAATGGTAGAAGGCTGAATGAGAAATTGATTCTCAAAATTGACCCACTAAAATAGAAGAGTATGGTTGATGCATGTACATGCATATTTTTATTGAACTGATCTTCTATTACTTTTACACAATGTTTAAAATCAGTCCATTTTTACAGAGTTAATTGGCCATTAATCTCGAATTATTTAGGACAAATTTCAAACAGAGCATAGTGTAACGGACTTGTTAATGGCTATCATTAGCACACCACTAATACACCACTTATGGCCATCAATATGGTGTAGGTTACACCTTTGGAATTCTCACATATTAGCCTATTAAAAAGAGAACAAATACACTATGATGATTACTTTTTTGTGTGTGCCATACGTGAGAAGAAGAAGACAAAACAAAAAAAAACCTTCTTCATTTTTTAAGAGAGAGCTTTTGATTTTCATCCAAATTTCGTGCGATTTCCTTCAAAGTTTTTTGGTCGTGAACGTTTATACATTGTTCTTGTTCGTTGGTGTGTGGTTAGTCCATACAATCACCACACACGATAGCGGTTTTATTATGGGAGGGGAGTGCCAACATTTTTCAGGTACGGTAGGTGGGCACTACTACCTTAAGGACAGTTCCGGCGACTCCGCTGCCCTTGTACGGTGTTTGGTTTTTGTAGATATCATTTACAAGTTCCACATTCCAGTTCGCTGCTTTAATCCGGTGCACAAAGTCTTCATTGTCGATATGGGCCTTTGAAGATCGGAAGTTTTTATTTATTTATTTATTGTAATTAAATTTAAATAAATTATAAATTTGAATTTATTTATTTTATTTTATTTTTTAGTTTATTCCAGGACCGTTCATCTTCTCAGTCTGTTGTAATCTATATTATCACTCTACAAAAAAATGAATGCAGGATACGACATTATTTCTCCTAAAATGATATTTCATGATCCAGGATCCATTCCATTCTTATAAATGTCATGAATGAAAAATTAACTTAGTTTTATTAAATTTTTATCTAGAAAATGACATTGTACACTAATTATTTAGAATTTAAAATTCTAGATATTTTTTTGAACACTAATAAGATATAAAATCTGAATTATTAAAATATAATATATCCCTCTGAAAACTTATGCGTAATACCTTACCGTGCAACATACGGGTAAAGTACTAGTTAAATGAAGTAAAAGCGAAGATTAGTTTTAGATAATTCATTGAGGGGGATTATATATTCTTACAACAAAATTTTTACAATAATGCAATCGGGCATCTATGGTGTTCCATTCGTAAAATTGATTGTTTCCACCCCTTAACACCCCTGGTAAACCCCCACATCCCGGCTCAGTCCTAACGCACCACCTCATCCCCTTCAATTGCATAATTTTTCATTTTTTTGACTTTACGGTCAAATATTTTACCAAAATGTTAAGTATTGTAATTAGAGGGGGTGTGTTAGTGCCGGACTATGATGTGGAGGGTTACCATAAGTGTTAGGGAGGATAAGAATAGGGCTGGGTCGGGAAAACCGAAAACCGAACCGAAATCGATCGAAACGAGCTAGAAAAAAAACCGAACCGAAAAAACCGAAACCGAATGTAAAAAAACTGAACCGAACCGTTATTATTTGGTTCCGTTTTGGTTTTTACTTTGAAAAACCGAACCGAACCGAATAAACCGAACTTATTTATATGCTTCATTTTATTTATATGAGTATATGTGATATGTATAAAAATCATATAAACAAAAATGCAAATAAATTACTAGTCAATTAAAGTTTTTTCTTAACTATTAATTAAACATTTTAACCATATTATAAACTTTAAAAAATTTAAGAATATAAACATTTTAACCATATTATAAACTTTAAAAAATCTAAGAATATAAACACCAATATTTTGTATATAAAATTGAACCAATGAGAACACTAACCTTCCGTTCAGCTTTTTTTTGTGTAAAAATCAAGCAAAAAAACCAAACCCAAACTTACGTATTGTTATTGCTTCGTCGAGTTAGTATTTATACAATTTTTAATGCTTATAAATATTTACTTTTATAAACCGAAAAAACCGAAAAAAACCAAGATAAAAACCGCATAAAACCGAACCGAATAACCAACGGTTTACATATTTTTTATGCAAAACCGAACCGAACCGAACCGCCAACTTACCTTCTGTTTTGTCTTTGGTTTTGGGTAAAAACCGAACCGCCAAAATCGAACCCACCCCTAGATAAGAATAATAACTTCTATGAGCGGAGCATTATAGATGCCCCGTTTATATTATTGTAAGAATTGTTGTAAAAATACTGTTATAAGAATAAGCGCTCTCTAATTTAATGTAGGGAATATTCAGTTTTTATTCTTTATTTATTAAATTTGAGAGTTAAACTCCTAGAATTGCGACAAGTTGCTAATCTACATGGCAACATTCTAACAAATCACCCACCACCTATTAACGATTGAAGGACGTGGCAATTTTGATCAAAATATGGATAGATCCAATTTATGTTGTATACAGAGTATATGTCTTATGTACAATGTCGCTATAATTTTTTGGAAAAATACCCCATACCAAAATTGGAATAAACATGGAGAAAATAAAAATAAAAATGCATTTTTTATCTCTAGAATAGGAGATACCAAATATTAAGAGATTTCTTAGTTTCAAAAAGAAGTTATTGGTAATGCAGTTCTATCGAAAGACAATGTTTGTTCTATATATCAAGGATAAAGTATACAAAATTAACAAGAAAAGTCAATTGAAAAGATCAAATCCAAACATAGAGAGAGTATTATTGAAGAAATTAGAACCTACATGAAATTTTATGCAATTGAGTGAGAACTAAAATTCATTTTTTTGATTAAAAATTTTATAAAATCAACTTCTAAAATAATTAAAACAATAGTATAAATTTTTGAAATCAACTTCTAAAGTAATAGTAACATTTTTCACATAAAATTTTAAAAAATTATCATGTAAAAATAATCACATGTATTTTACATCCAAAATTTTTTGCACTTGATATGAATTTATTTTTAACCAGCAAAACAAATACAGTCGCAAGGGTTTGCACTTGATATGAATTTATTTTTAACCAGCAAAAAAAATACTCAGGGACAGAGAAAGTATGTAATTGTAAGGTCGGTAATTTAGGTTTTTTAAATTAATGTGAGGAAAAGGATCATTTGATTACTAATATTTTTTATATTAATATATTTTTGAATTTATACAGGGAGAAAAATTATAGATTTGTAAAAATACATCAAACATAGATCATTTATATTTGACCTTTAAATAATATGCTAAATAAAAATCAAGATCCACATTGTAGAATCGAAAAAAATTTCGTCTGAACATGTACGTTTCATGGGTAGAAATAAAAGTTTTAATAAAGTATGAGACTAGTCTCTCGAAAAAACTGGGTCATGCGCAAAGAATTAAATTATGTAATGTGCCTAAAAAATTGTATCCCATTTTGTATCCTGAAGCCATACACTAACATTTTATATTAATGTAATGCTAAAATGATGGTTTACAATGACACAAAAAATTAGTGTAAATCTTTCTTATTTAACTGACATTTTGTATCCGTAGAAATCGGTAAAATGCTAGTACATCTTTTATAATACAAAAAATTAGTGTAAATCTTTCTTATACACTTCTTTTGGTTGATGCGAAAACAATTTACTAGTGAATTCAAAGCCTGAATTTTCGCATTCTTCTAGAAGAACACAGTTTCTCACGCGATTAGTTTTTCATGTGAATGAACCACTCTTCATGATGATGATTTGGAAAATTTGGACACAGTTGGATATGATGATTAACATCTTCATGATGATGTTTTGGAAAATTTGGACAAAGTTGAATATGATAACATCATCTTTCATCTTTGGTTCTAGAAATTTGGACGAATAAAAAAAATAGGCTTTCTAAATATGTCATAGAAGCTAGGGCTTAGGCGGGACTTGGTGATCTTAGAGACCAGAAGGAGATTTTAGAATAGGACCAACTTTAGATTATCAGGATCCGTTGCTGGTAAAAGGTTTTATGGATGATGACCCCCCACAGTCTACTAGCTTGTTGAAATCCTGTGGGAAGAGAAACAGCAGGTAGGATGAGGTGAGCTCGCCCCTTCTAAAATGGCTGCCTTTTTACCTTATAATCTGTTACCTTGCTTCCCTTGAACTTTAGCAACTTTCTCTCCTTTGGGAATTCTAATGCTTATTGGAACAGCTAGGTAGGTTGATGATGTTTCATTGGAACAATTTGTTTTTTCCTTCCTTCAAAATATCTGTTGCAACAATGAAAGAGGGATCTTATCTTGTGGGATATGGTAAGAAGGAAATGTGGAACCTTTAATGGAACTGAGGGAGGAGTATTTCCCACTTTTGATTAAAGCGTTTGCTAGAAGTAAGATCACATATGCCTTGAGGTGAATTCGTAGGACTTTCACAAAGAAAAACTGATCTAATCTCTCATATACATCTCATCGAATGCCTCTTTAACGGTTTCGGGTATTAACTGTTTTTGTGTTCTTGTAGGCTGCCTTTCACCTTGAAGGCTCGTACTGAAAGTGATGATGATTTGGAAGGTGGCAAGTTGGAGAAAGGCAGAGGGCGGCCACCACGAAGTAATAGGATTATCACACTACGCCATAAGGCTTTACTATCTGGACTTGCATATTGTATTTCTTCATGCTGCATGATACTGATTAACAAGTACATCCTTTCCAGCTACGACCTTAATGCCGGGATATCATTGATGCTCTACCAGGTCCAGTTCAATCTACTCATTAAGAGTATACAGCTCTTATTCACCATAAAAAGAGCTTAGAAGATGCAAGTATTTAGGTTGTACTCGAATGTGACAAACCCTTTTTGTCTTCTATGCTGCAGAATTTTGTCTCGGTTGTGGTTGTTTATCTTTTAAAATTCATAGGCATAATATCCTCAGAGCCACTCACATGGAAGCTTATTAGAGTCTGGCTACCTGTTAATTTCATCTTTGTTGGGATGCTAATCACAAGTATGTTTAGGTATGATATGGGCACTTGTGTTTGTTGCAACATTTTTTATTAAATTATTAAACAACTAGACAATAAAAACCGACCCAGTAGAATCCCACACATGGGTTTTGGGGGATGGGGGTGAATGCAGATTGTAGACTTTACCCCGACTTGGAAAAGGTAGAGAGGTTGTGATAGAAACTTGCTATAATGAATTCAGGGTCTAAATTAAAACTATATAGAACTCTCATTTCCTTCTCTCAATAAGAATCTCACCGATGTAAATGAATAGAAGCCAAGAGAGTCCCAATGTGATCAATAATTTATTCTCTGGATCTCTAGAAGCTGAGATACTTATAACAATTCTAACAAACTGATAAGATCAAAATAACAAACCGATAAGATGTAACAAACTAGGTTAATCTAGGGGTTGAGAACTCTTAATAATTGAGAGTCCTTTAATTTAATGAAGGGTGATTTAAGTAAAATAGTAACAAACTCAATCAAACAACACAGAGTAATGTAATTAAGGTGGCTAGTGATTCAGATCTTATCATTAATCCCCTCTCTAAATGCCACCTTGGCCTCAAGGTGGAGGTCTAGGCGGTGTAGCTGCTGTATTAACTCATATTCTTCCCAGCTAAATTCTCATATGATCTACCCTTCCATTGTATCAACAATTCCAAGCTACTCCTTCCATCTTTCTTGCTACACACACCCTCCCCAGACCCTACTCTTGTGGGATTTAACTGGGTTGTTGTTGTTGTAAGGCTAGCAAAGGGGCTTGTACTAGACCGAATGAACCCTTTGTATAATAGACCCTCCACCTGGCACTCGATTTCATTCTTTTGAAAAAAGGGCAACGGTATGGGCAATTGTTGGGTGATGGTTTGTTAGGAAAAATATGAATGGCATGATTGTGGGGGGCATATTGGTGGAAGGTTTTGAGGTTCATCGAAAGCAATAGCATCATCATTAAGTAACTCATTCAAACTCAATGGAAATTCCTCCTCTACTCCTATTTGCAACTTAAGAGACATCATTGAATTTGAACTAATTCTTTGATCAACTTTTGAGATCCCTTGTAATTTATATCGCTTCCCATCAACCCAAAAAATAAAAAAAAACATTTCATTCCAGTTTGCTTGAATGGTATTCAAGGAGGCTAACCATTTGATACTAAGAACCATATCAAATCCAACTAGTGGAAATGGGTAAAAATCTTGTGTAAGAGTCTAACCTGGAAGTTTAACTGAGACGGATTTGCAAATCTGATTACACCGAATAATAGAGCCGTCTCTTATCACTACGCCAGATGTCTGATTGTCTGAACTGAGGAAACAGGTAGCTTAAGTTGCTGCACAAGTTTTTCAGAAATGAAGTTATGCGGCGACCAGCCATCGATCAACGGGAAAACTTCATGCCCATGTAATTTTCCACTTATTTTCATAGTGGCAGACTTTGGCCTCCTCAAAATCGCATTAAAGGACACTTCCTCCTCTTTTACCTCCCCATCAACGGGAACCTCTTTGGGGTTCATCGAATTACCATCCTCATCGACTTCCATCAAAGAGAATGTAGTAGATGAATTCAAACAACAATGTCCCTGCCTAAAGGGATCCCCACACCGGCAGCAAAGCCCCTTATCCCTGTGTTGCTGCTTCATTGAATTATCTTGACTAAATCTTGAAATTGGCAACATCGATGTTGAGCCTGAAGATCCTGAGAACGCAACACAAGTGGCTGGGGTGAGTGCGGCTGGGTCAAGTTTTTTATCTCTTGGTTTTGACCAATGGTAGAATCTGGACTGGCAACCCGGCCTGATCCCGTTGGACTTGTCTTGAAATGAAGAGGCATATTCCGTTTCTCAAACTCGAGGGCTATACTTTAAGACCTGAACACAGATTTGGGTTTGTGAGTTCTTACCTCCGTCCTCAAATCTTCTCCCAAGAGACAATGGTCAGACCAATTTCAGCTTCGAGCAACCATTCTTGACCATTTGTTTGTTTGATTAGGACAAGGTGTTCGTTTAAGTTCAAGTGTTCTGGCAGTCCATAGATTTTGATGAATTCCTCCCATTACAAGAACGTCCTTTCAGCATTGGTCGAGGAGAAGTGGAGAACAAGTCGAGAGCATCGCTCTCCAGGTGCATGGCCGCTATCTCAACCTTAGCTTCTTCCGATGTTTCATAGTAACAGATGTACTTTTCAGCCTTCAACACCCAACCCCGTGGATCTCTGCCGTTGAATTTAGGGAACTCAACTTTGGATCTGGGAAATTGGTGGTGGCTGTGATCATTTTCATCATAAGAATCATCAGGGTACTGCTTCATCTTTGCATTCCCAGAATTACTTCTGGCTCGCGCCATCAGGGCAGTCACTTCTGCCTTAAGGTCATCTAACACAGAAAGCATAGCAGTGATTTGTGCTAGAGTGTTGTTGGGTGAATAGCCTCGTTTGTTGGTTGCTCATTGGTTTCACCATTCTCACTGTGGGGAGCGTTTGAACGGGCAATCGCTATAAGGATCGGGTAAAGAGCACTCTTATACCAAATGATAGAATTTCCTAGAACTAATTCAGGATCTAAATTAAAACTAAATAGAACTCTCCTTTCTTCTCTCAATAAGAATCTCACAGAAGAAGGGAATATAAGTCAAGAAAATCTTAATGTGATCAAAATAACGGATAAAATTAAAATAACAAACTGATAAGATCTAACAAACTAGGCTAACCTAGGACTTCAGGCCCTGAGGATCCTTTTATTTAATGGATAGTGATTTAATTAGAATAGTGACAAACTCAATTCAACAACGCTGGGTAAATAGTTAAGGTGGCCTTCTGCTATCAGTGATGCAGAATTTCAAATTCCTTAATACTTCAAACTCCTCTAAATTTCACCTATGATGTGTTAGCTGTTATACTCCCTCCATCCCATAAAGGAGTCCACATTGATGGGTGTACACCTTTTCTAATTTTAATAAGGTACAACTTCTATAAAGCACTGCATATACCAACATTTCTAGATAAATTGAGAAATAAGACTTTTTATGGGACAAAAACAAGTTAAGGAATAGAACTTTTTTTAAGGGAATGCGGGAGTAATTTTCAATATTACTATATTAGAATGCTTCTCATAATTGTGTTTCATGCAGTCTGAAATACATTAACGTTGCCATGGTCACAGTCCTGAAGAATGTTACTAATGTGATAACTGCTGTTGGTGAAATGTATCTTTTTAACACACACCATGACAACAAAGTCTGGGTTGCTCTTTTCTTGATGGTAAGCCCTGAATGTGTGTTTCCTTCATATTTGCGTAGTTTAAACTTGTGAATTTCATCATAAGGATTGTGTTCTAACATAATGGTTTCCTGAACTTTTGGTATTTCCTCATAATAATGTTGCTGGACATTTTTGTCATTTTTCTCAAATCATTATGGAGTACAAAAGTCCAATGGTTATGCTAGTATGCTTAACTTCTATGAAATCATTATGTTAGAGCAATATGTTAAGCTGGACATCTGAAATACGTAGTACAAAATTTCAACGTAGAATATCAGGAAAAAAAATCATTGCGGGGGTTTAAGTGTTCAACAAAATCATTATATTGTCTATGCTAATTGCTAAGTATACTATCTGATTTTTTTTCATTATTTTTTCAAAGGAGGTGGGTGTAGAGATACAGGGTGTGGTGGGTGCTGAATAAAGAAACTGTTGTTTGCCAGAAAAAACCTATATTTAAAAGTCTTTGTGGCCTCTGTAGTTTCTGGTCTCTCACAGTATTGTTTATATCAAACCTAACATTAAGTCAGCTATTGGGTATTGTATTCAAGGTCATTAGGGGTAGGGAGAGCATAACCTTTGCTGCTCTTAAATAAATACTTTCTGCATTTATCTTCCATATTGCAGATGCGTACATTGGGATAAAGTTTAAATTTGCCAACTGTCGGCATATGCATATTTTTTAAGAAGTTTAAGTTTGTGCATTTTGTTATGCAGATAATTTCAGCAATATCTGGAGGAATTACTGATCTATCTTTTAGTGCAGTTGGCTATACATGGCAGATTATTAACTGTTTCTTGACAGCATCATACTCTGTAAGTTTTAACTATTAGTTTCATTTCTTTTCAGTGTGCTCTTGCTCATTCTGATACCTTTTATTAGGTTAGGTCATTAGTCTAGTGCTTCTCTTAAGAGGGACAATGTTTACTCACCTTCCATTTTTTTTGTTAGATACCCATATTTTGTATTTAAAAAATCTAAGCATATGCACCTTTTCAATTTTTAGTTAAAAAAGAGATGAGTTTATGTGATTTTATATCTTAATCGTAAAATGTTTTTCAAGAAGGACTATATTGGAAAACTAGATTTTTTGAGTTATAGAGAGATAGTCATAGTCCTTGGTTCCTCACTTCTTCTTGTGTAAGAAAATACTATCAATCTTAAACACATGAGAATCAACATATTTAGGTGTTGCCATCTCAATATGATATCAAAATAAAATTTCGAAATGTCTTTTAATACTCCGTATACCATAGTAACATAGAGGCATAGTTGAAATTAATAACTTATTACAAAGTATGAATTTTTTAATATTCATAAATTTACACCTATTTGTTACCATGTATTTTTTTCATTTTCTAAAATTATAAAAGAATACCATATTTTAAAATATGTACTCTCTCCATCCTTTAATGACTTGCATTATTACTATTTGGTCTCTCAATATTTTTGTTCATTTAAATCTTTTCATTAGTCATTTGATAAAATAAAATATTTTTGTCACCTTTGTTTTTTTCTTCACCAATTTGTAAATAAATTAGTTAATATGGGGTTTTGCATCGTAGTTGCAACCATGCAATCCATTTTGGGACAGATGGCGTATATAACACATACCATATATGGTACATTATTACAAATTATAATACAACAACAACAACAACATCCCAGTTGAATCCCACTACAGTAGGGTCTGGGGAGGGTGTGTGTACGCAGACCTTGCCCCTACTCGGAAGTAGGGAGGCTGTTTCCAAGAGACCCCCGGCTCAACCTGCACAAAAATATGGAAGGGAACACAGTATAACACGGGTAAAGCACCAAGTACAAGCAACAAGTACAAGCAATAGCAAAAGATTCCAAACAAACACAACACACTACAAACAACCTCTACAGTACCGAGCTCCTATCCAGCTACTCTAATCCTAGTTCTCCAAAGGTTCCTATCTAAGGCCTATACATGAAGTTATATAACAACAACGACAAAGCCATATCCGAGTAGGTGGGGTCAACTACATGGATCAAATGACACCACTGTGCCTTGTCATATATCATATTTGCAGCGAGATCATTCAGGTATAGACCACCCTTGATCACTTTGTGCCAAGTAAATGTCGTGTTTGATCCATGTCATGTTTCGACAAATTTTTACATTGGTTGCCGAGACCTAACACCCCCTCCTCTTTTATCCAGGCTTGGGACCGGCTATGCAACATAGTCAGAGTTAAAATACATAAAATTATATTTTAAAATTTAAATATAATACATAAGAATGCTAATCAACTATATATGAGCTCGTGTGGAGCACAAGGCGAAAACTAGTACTATTAATCTTTAACACAAGAGAATCTGCATATTTAGGTGTTTCCATCTTTTATAGCAAAACTTAATCATCACATGAGCACAACATTGAGATTTGACAGGTTCTTTATATTTATTCTCATTTGTTCTATATCCCAAATAAAAAGGTAATCCGTACTTGAGTTTTGTGCTCTTAGAAGCTGAAAAGCCTTCATTCTATTTGATTGGTTTGAAATAGCAAAAAAGTAACCATGCTTGGTAACGCAATAGAAATACAAAGCATGCCTACCATCCCAAGGACCTCATACTTAAAGTCTGGATTATAGATAGAGATTAAACCTTTGAAAAACTGCAACCAACTTTGTTGAAGAATGAATGGTTATTGTAGAACGGTTTTGGAGGACAAAATGTAGCAGTTCAAGTGTCCGGCCTATATTAAGGATTTAAGAGGGGTAATCTTTAATATAGTATTGTGTATAAAAATATTTTGTGTAATATTTCTAATTCTTTAAAAAAAAATATCTAACACAAAATAATATCCTCTCATTTTAAAATAAAATTCCTGCCAAAAGGAAAAACTTAAATCGCCAGGGACAAAATCACCAGCTTGGCTTCCTTAAAATCAAATACGGAGAATTCATATTTAGTTTTAGAACCCCATCATGATCCTTAAAAAGATTTTTTCCAAATTAGTCCTCAATAAATTGTAATTATCTACATGGTACCTTATAATTGAGATTTATTCTCTAAGTAGTTCTTTGTAAAAAATGTCACTTAAATGTCAATTAAGTGGATGGTACTTTGATATTTTTTATCATCTAAATTTAGATTAAGTTCTCAAATTTATCATTTCTAATGAACTATTTTTCCAAAATGGTCTATTTAATTAAGGATGTGTATTTGATTCAAATTTTAAAATATTTTGATAGATTTTATAATTTGTGGATTATGTAATGTCAATGATTGTTTTAATTTTACATGAATTTATATAGAAATGACCATTTTGAGAATTTACTTTAAGTTTAGATAATGGAAATACGAAAATATCTTCCGATTAATCATGATTTAAGAGACATTTTTTACGGACTCTTTAGGGAATAAATCTCAATTATAAAGTGCCATAGGTAATTAGAACTTATTGAGGACTAATTTGAGAAAACACCTCATTAGTAAGGACCATTTTGGGAATTTATCCTAGAGTACATGCTCACTATCTCCCCACAAAACACATCCATTATATTTTAAAACACGCTAAGTATAAGAGAAGGGAGCACCACAAATGGATGTCATTGTGTGGTACAAAGTACTTAAAAATGATGTTAAAAGTGGATAGAAATCCATGTATTTCAAAATGCATTGAACCAAAAAGGAATAGTTTAGAGCCCAAAATGTATTTTATTGAAATCAATAATTAAATAATTAACTTGATACAAAATCAAATAATAATATCATTTTTGGAACTAAGTATAAAATAATAATTTCATATATATATATATATATATATATATATATATAATTTACTTAAATTTTTTATAATTTACACATATTCGTATAGACAGTTATTATTCCTTAAAGTTTACTCTTTAAATTGTTCAAAGTTTTTGACCCGTATAAGCACTTATAAAGATGGCGATAGTATTAAAATGCTACTGTAATAACCAATATCTAGCAACACATTATTACTCCATTATAATATTAAACTTTTGCGTCGTCAATACCTTTTCACGACACAAAAATCCATGTAACGTGTTTCCCTTTCGCCTAATGTCTCAACTTAACCCAAGGCATAGAGCGTGCAACCTTGTATTGTTAAGGGGTACAATCTTGTATTGTTTCAGGATCAAATAATCCATTTATGTCACACAGACATTAACCTATTAGGGGCGAAAAATTCTATGTACATTATCTACGTCTCCAAACATGCATCACGACATACCCAAGTCAAAGGATAGTTACACCCGGGGTCGTGATGAGAACGCTTATACGCCCTCAGTCTAGAATTGAATTGCTTATTGTGATTTACGAGGTTTGACCGACTTTAGTTTGAATTCAATTTATTTGATTGTTGATGCAAAATTCAAAAATAACATAAAAAGTTTTTCAAAGCAAGAGGTGGCATTATTATTTTATATAATGAAATGAGTAATGAAAATAAGCAAACATAGCCAATAAAGTTTGACTGTGTGAATAGTGTCTAGAATATTCATTTCCGGACAAAGGTAGCATGCTTTAGAACATCTATGGAGCACCCTCTAGGTGGGTCTGTCCGACATCCTATTATCCGCCAATAATATGTGCTTATATGTAGATGCGAATAGTCCGTCATTGACCATGAGACACATTCAAACATCTAACACACGCTAGTATCAATTGCATTAACGATATCCTGATCTTGTTTATACTTGACTATGGACCGTTTAGAAATACATTCGTATCAAGGTGTTCTCATCCTCTGAATACCAATTTTATATACATCTTTGAAAAAAAATTCTAGGAATGTAACAAGTGTTTACAATAGGATGAGATGTTGTAAACATATTACATTAGCCTTTATCCATGATAATACGATCATAAAATGATTGACCACTAGGGCACAACTCCAACGATAGCCTCTCTACCCTTTGGATAGAGGTAAGCCCCAGACCCCAGGTTTCACTGGATTGTTGATTGAAACTAGCCACAATTTCACTTGATTGTCCAATTTCACTAGGAGAGCATATTCGTAAGCTTATATTTTGATGAGATTTTTTACCCACACTTTGATTGAAGAGTCCTACAATCCTTGCTACAATCTGTTAAATGCTTTTACCATATTCCTTGCAGTGTTGCATAATCTTTTCCTTGTATGCTCTCTTTGTTATACAAGGGAAAATAATGTTTATTCATAATCGGTTCTCATGGTGCAGTTAACTTTGCGTAGGATTATGGATACTGCCAAACAAGTCACAAAATCAGGAAATCTGAATGAATTCTCAATGGTCTTGCTAAATAACACTCTATCACTTCCCTTAGGCATTGTGCTTGTCATTTTGTTCAATGAGGTGGACTATCTCTTTAGCACGTGAGTTTTGCTATAACTTTTTAGTTGAACTTATATAGGCGATGTGGCATTATTAGCTTTCTACTCCCTCCATTTCACAATAATTGGCATGTTGGTTGAAAATTTGTGTTCCATAATAGCTGTCGTCGTATTAAAATAAGTCTGTTTAATACAGAGTTTCTGTTTTGTCTCCATTCATCTCAGTTCTCCATTTCAGTATTTTCTAATTTTCCAAATGGGATATTATTTATGGATATTTTTGTATAATACAGTAATTGTGAAAAAGTGGGAGAATATTTCTAGTCCTGGGTGAATAAAAAGGGAAGCTATGTCGTAACGATATGATTATAAATGAACTATTCTTTGTATCTCGATGACAGGCCACTCTTACATTTGCCTATGTTTTGGCTGGTGATAACCTTAAGTGGACTTTTGGGCTTGGCAATTAGCATTACGTCAATGTGGTTTCTTCACCAAACAGGTGCTACCACTTACAGGTAATGCCTAAATATCAAACCCTTCTTTTTTCGGGATCAATTTTGGAGCTTAACTTTGGATCTAATATCTGTCTTGGAAAATGTTCTACTCCCTCCGTCCAATATTTTTCCTCCCGGTTTGAAACAAATTACATTGCCTTTCCTAAAATACCCTCCCTCTCCCTCACCCGCTACCCATCCATCACTCTTGAAGCTTGAGCTTGTGGTTGTGGACCCTCCATCCATTATTTGTGGTTGAAGCTTGACCCTCCCTCACCCGCTACCTTTCCTGGACCACAAAAAGCTTGAGCTTGTGGTTGAGTTGGTTCTTTGACACACAAATTTTCATCCCAATGAATGGGAACATTATTTTGAGTTGTCTAAAAAAGGATAGTGTTGTTGTTGCTGTTGTTGTCTAAAGAAGGATAGTGTGAAGATGAATTTGGGATGGACGGAGTATTATTTTGTGTAGCAGTGGGGGGGGGGGATACTCTTTAAAATAAACACAACGAGCCTAGTAAAGTTCCATAAATTGGGGTTTGGGGAGGGTGGGTGTATGCAAATTTTACCCCCGCCTAGAAAGTACAGAACTTGTTTCCAAGAGAGGCTCAAAACACAATAGAACCCATGCTTCCATGCAAACAAGAATGTACGTTGTTGGTAACCGATAAATGATTAAAGCATGTACTCCATTTTTCCATCCTTCCATGCAAAAGAGCCATGTTAGAAAGAAATCAGTAATACAAACGCTCAAAATTGACTCCTTTTTTGGGATGGAAGGAATAGTGATTTATCATCTTAATTACCCAGAGTATATCTTTTCTTTCTTTTTTTTTTGTAACCATCAACTTAAGGTAATATTTCTATTTTTAAAGCAATATATTCTTAAAAATGAAATTTAACAACTCTTGTCCCCTTCTCTCCAGAATGCCCTCCCAAACATAACCTAAGCCTGCTAGGTTTAGATTGAATCTGTAATGAAAGTATATAACTATATATGTGTCCAGAAGGAGGGAGACAAGGATGGATATATACAAGTTTCCAGGTCTATAAAAGTGCTATATGATTATGGTTTATGACATATTTTCACATTTTTTTTGTTGATTATGACATGTTTTTCATTTTTGTTTTTGCAGCTTAGTGGGATCACTAAACAAGATACCTTTATCTGTGGCCGGAATCCTTCTTTTCAACGTGCCCACGAGTCAGGAGAATTCCGCTAGTATTTTCTTCGGTCAGCTTCAACTTCCTCCTTATCAGCACCGTCAACATTTCTTAAACCTAAGAAAGCGTGTTATACTTAGGCAGCGTTCCGTTCCACTTATTTTTTCTGCTTATTACTTATTCTTTTTATAACCAGACCAGATCAGATCGGAAACAACTTTAATTAAGCTGCAATCAGAATCAGATAGATCTTCAAAAAATCAGATCAGATCAGGCGAACGGAACGCAACCTTAAGCTGTAAAATTCATTCAAATTTTGGATTGACTCTTGCAGGTCTACTGGCCGGAATATTCTTTGCCCGTGCAAAGATGCCGGAACAATCATCTCATGCTTGAAGTTAGCTTGTATACTTAGCATGTACACACTCTAAATCATGATGTTCCATATGTGCACAGTGCCCCAGAATGAACACACTATTATAATTGCTCTTTATAACAAGTTGGTGCTCCTGCATTACATTAGAGCACAAAGGTGATGTCCAAAAAAACAAAAATAGCAGAAAAGAGAAACAAGTGTAGAAACAAGGAAAGTTTGAAGTCCTATGCTCTTTAGATTTTTAGTTTTCCTTAGTAAATATTCACAGACCTGTTTGGAGCTTAACATTTCACTTTTGTGTGCCTACTTTGTTGTAATGTTCAGGAACTGTAGGGAGGAGGAATTTGACTGTACTTTGTCCTGAATATCTGCTTTTATGTGGGAAATGACTAAGGAGGTCATATATGTGTATTCTCTCTCCATCTCAATTTACAGTGTTTACTATTTACATTCGCAAACATTTTCCTAAATTTTTTTAGTAAATATAGTTTTCGTTTTTTTAGATATTACATTGGTGGTCCTCGATATTTGAGAAATATTTCAAGATCAATTTTTGTGTGCTATATATGTGGAAAATAATATTTTGGTCAAAAAACTGGTTCTAGAATGATTTTCAAATATAAAGGTCCACGAATGGAATATCTTAGAAATTGGACACTATGTGGAAAACCCCTTTGTCATAAATGGTTATTTATGGACTTCATTCTTCTTTGTTTTACCAATTTTCATACTCGTTCGATAATATACTCATGTCCTTTTATCGTATAACTTTAAGTACAATGTTTAAAATATATACTCCCTCTGTCTCATTTTATAACGCCTGTTTTGGTTTACGATGTTTGACTGTAATTATTTTCAAACCATTTTATATGACAAATGGTATAGAATTAAAAAATAAAAATTACATATTAAAAAACTACATCAAAAGATCTACAAAACTAGTAGTGACAATAATATTTTATTTTACCTTTCAAAAAAAAATAATATTTTATTTTATCAAATTGCTAACAAAAATAGAAGGGAGTAGTACTTTATTGGTCATTAAGTATTTGTCCAGTTCTCATTTTTTTGCATTAAAATAATAAAGTTTGACCATTTTTAAAATTAAATTGAGATTAGATATTGATAATAAAATAATTTTATTAGATTTTTTTAAAAAATATTTTTAAAATTATTATTTTATCTAATTAATATATCATACTCTCTTCGTTTTAATTTAAATTGTCTCTTTCGGTTTACGATGTTTGATTGAAATTATCTCCAAATCATTTTATATGAAAAATGATGTAGAATTTAAAAATAAAAATTTATATTTTTAAAAACTAGATCAAAAAGACTACAAAACTAATGATGACATGACTATATTATTATATTAAATGAATAACGAAAATAGAGAAAGAAAATGAATAAAGTTTAACCATTTTTTACTAATATAATTTGGGACGGAAGGAGTATAATTTTTGTTTTATTATAGATTAAAGATTGAACGTAGTTAATTAAATATATAGTAAATTGCAATTGGCAACCTAATTTAGTGTCTTCGGAATAATGATGGTAGACTTCTCTAAGTTCTCTTATCTGTACTTTCTAGAAAGTCAATTTAAATTATTCATTCTTTAACGAAGTTTTGAACCATAACCCCTGCTTGGGAGAAACAAAATAAAGGTGGATTGACACTCATTTGTAGTGTCATATTGTGATAATCGTCCAATTGAGGATTTATGATACAATCTTCGGAAAAAACATTAGTTCTGACTCTTTAATCTCCTAGTAAATCTCTCCACCTCGACCCGGTTCAAACCACGTTCTTGTCTCTTTCAATTACATCATTCAAATTTATTTGACTTTGAAATTAAAAAATTCAAACCTAGAGTTAACTAAATTTGGGAGGTATAATTAAAGGAGGTAAAAGGTGGGTTCAAATCAAGCCACGGTGAGAGTAAAAGAGCGGATATATTTTGTTTTGGAAGGTGAAGAAAATATAAGGAAACGACCACATTTAACTAGCATTTAGATTTTAGACCACTAGTATTTAACCCGTGCAACGCACGGGGTCGAATGCATGTTGTTTTTAACTTTGTTAATTTTTTTGTTTTAGTAAATAATTAAAAAATATAGCTAAATATAATATACAATGTTAGAAGTTTAATGAATGATATGACATAAACAAAGTATGCTAACTAAAATTCATGTATATAAATGTATTAATTACATCCAAATTTTTTGAAAAACATCAGGATAAACCACATTTTTGGTACAATTGCAAGAGTTACCATTTTCGTTTAAAACTAACACTTTCAATCCTTTTTTAGTTTCCACTCGTGGAACTCCAACATAAAGTTGACTGAACTTTTGTCCAGTTTTGATGTTTTCAGTCAATCATTTTCAACCTTTGACTTATAACTAAATGAAATATATATTGTATATTAATTAGATAAAATAATATTTTGAAAATATTTGATATAATAAATCGAATAAAATTATTTTTGTATCAATATCTAATATTATTTTTATTTAATTTGAGAACGTACACCAGTATTTAACGGTAGTCTCAATCCAAAGTGCTCAAATAAATGTTAACTATATTCCGAATCCAAAGTGCTGAAATAAATTTTAAGGGCAAACAAAGTATAGAATACAATAAGATAGATGAAATCCTTCACTCCAAACTTTATATATTGATTGATGACAGTTACATCAGCTAGGGTAGGTTTGTTCAAGCCTCCATTTCCCTTGGCCTTTAAAATAAAATTACAGAGAAATTTAATAACCCACCTGAAAAACAAAGGGGAAGGTCAAAATTTTGTAGGGCAAACGAATAGATATTTTCTATGCGGGACTCAATAATTTGACGGAATGCCAATAATAACATAGCTTGCAGTAGATACTTGGTTCATTGATACACATTAACAAATTATCATTTTCACGCACATAGGAGATGGTAAACACTATAAGAAATGGTATTGAACCCCCCCTCCCCCAGAAATGAAAAAAAGAAGTAGAAAGAGCCTATTAACAGCACTCCATATCATTGTTAGGGCTTCTAATAGTTTTTCATTGGCCAATTCATATTTTTATATTATTTTAATTATTAAAAATCAATAATTTTATCTCTACATTAATAGTAGAGGTAAAATCTACATACACATACTCTCCCTCCCCAAGCCCTATAACTATTTCTTCCTGAAATCAACATTAAAATATTTGGACTCTTGACCCTCCAACTTGTTTACACTTATCTTAGTTTTGAATATAGTAGTTTTGAATATAGTGAAGGCACCACTGCACGAAAAAAAGCAAAGAATTGTCCTTATTTAATCTAAGCACACTCTCTAGAACATGATTTTCAATGTGCGAGGCTAACATTAAAAAAGGGAATAACCAACTTTTAAGCAAGACATTATACTCTATAATTGAGAATCTAAGATTTTCATAGATTGAACGGCTTTCTAGAGAAGAGGTAGTTACCTTATGTGATATTTGATCAGGAATCCTGAGGCTTCAAGAATTATGTTCCATCAACCTAATTTTAAGGTTCCCATGATCTTTCAAAGTGGACAAACCAAAANAATAGATAGAACAAAGTGGTAGAAGGTTATAACATTTCAGAGGGATTTTGAGCATTTCAGGTTATAGAACAAAGCAGTGGGAAAGTTTGATGTGTGTGGTGATATTCTTGCTCTTAAGTTTAATATTAACATCAGTGCTAAACAAATCTCCTTTCTTTGTACGTGATTACTTTGACTGGTGAAAATGACAATAGAACAGATAACGTGTGAGCATGCAAGTACATACACATGAAATCAAAAGTAAATTTTGAACACAACTGCTAAAAGATTAACTAAAGCAGTAAACTTTTATTACACGCTATGTTATAAAATAGGGTCATTATTTATACTGTGCTCCAGCAAACATTGATTCACAACTAAATGTTTTTTAAAATCCGTGTTAAGTTCAAAATTTTATTTAATCTGTGAAGAGGGAATTGCACCATTGTTTTACTAAACCACATTTTGACTTAAACATTTTTTAATGCAATCCACCAATTGTTTTAAGTTTTGTTTCTTAAAAGCCCTTTTTTATGCTTCATGCTTTTTGAATTTGTGTCTTCAGTATTACCTGGGTAGTTGCACAACCCATCTCTTCGGCATTGGTAACTTCTAAGAATGCATCTTACAACAATGACAATTGATAAATCTTAGTAACAACGAAGTAGGGTTTATTCTTGAAATTGATAGATTCATAGTAAAAAATCTAGCCCTTCAAATATGTAGGCCTAAACTTAAGCTAATTTCGTGAAAACAAATGTGAATTTTTAAGTCTAAAATAGTAAATATACAATATTAAATGAGCCAAGTACACATACTGGATACAACTGAAGAGCAATAAAAACACTACCTGCAAAGCCACCCTCCTTGTTTGAGTGCAGGCAATCAGGCGACCTCTCTCTTCCCACCCAACTTCTTTAAGGTACTGCAGCCATTGTTTAATAGCAATGAATAACATTTGATTAAAAGAAATCCAAAATTTAATCATTGGAGTAATTTTTGAAATATATCGAACAAACTGTAGAAGTGCAACAAAAAGATTGAATTTCTCAAAAATATCTGAGGAATCAGGGTCATTTTTACGATGCCAGTCTCCCCCCACAATGATAGTGGTGGAGTGCCCTGATAGAGAATGGTAGCCCTGTACTTATGTACCGATAGTCGTTGCCTCGCTTCTTTATAGCCTCGACTGTAAAATCCACAAACTGCAACTTTTAGCCCTTATGAGACTAATAACACACACACACACACACACTCACAACAATCTCAAAAGAGAACCTTTATGCATAAATTCACCAAGCAAGAACTATGAATCGTCTACAGCAAAACAATAAAAATTAACTAAGCAAAAGAATAAAAACAAAATACACGTGCTTAAATAAACAAAGTAAGAACTATGAATCATCTTAAACATCTGAATTCAAAGAACTATGTGAAAAATAAAATGCTATGTATTACCTTCGTCTTCTTGAATACTTCCTAACATCTCTAGAGTGTAAAACTTTTCTGCTACTCCACACCCTCTATCATCGTCAGCTCACCAATATCTCTGAGCTCCGCCCACAACCGTTTTCATTGCTGATTTATAACATAGCAATATGTTAGGCTTTGAAGAGTGGGCCAGCGGCTCTACTACAAAGTAGAGAAGATGTTGTAGATTATTAAATTGTTGCAAAGGCAGAGATTGTGGTATGTCTTCTCGTCGCCGGGGGAGGGCAACGAAAATCATAATAAAAAATTACACAAAATTTAATCAAGAAAAGTAATACTAACCTGCGACATTTCCACATTCTAATGTTACGTTGAGGATGATAGCCAACCCTTGAGCATTCTACTTTAATTAACGCCCTATATATTTCCCAAGAATCATGACTGTGTTTCTATTGGAAAAAAAAATCACAAACAATTTAAATAGATCAACATTCATTCTTAGATAAAATAAATATTGGAATTTTAATGGTTTGCTTGGACAAATGAGAAACTTAATCTAAAAAACTTAATGTGGACATTATCATAAAAGAACGTGTAGTTACTCCATTCAGAAAAAACCACACATAAAAATTTGGTAATACAATATATAAAAATTTGGTAATACAATATGCTGTATGTATGAGATAGCTAAATAGAGACTCTTTGGCCAATGACAATGTGTACAAAGATCATATCTGGAATATGAAAAATTATAGGGGAATAATGCCTTTTAGTGATCTGGATGAAAGTACCTTTTTTATAATGCATGAGTGAGACTCCTAAATATCTTTTTGATGGAAAAACTCTTTATCCACCATTCTTGTTCATAACTTGCTACTTCAAATATGAAATTCCATAAATCATTTGTCATCTCCTAAAAGAAAATTGAGATGAAGAGGTAGTCTCGCGGTGATTCAGTGATGAGATCAGATTGATCTTTGTTTTATTTTGGAAGCTAAGCTAACTTTCATATACATATTTGTGAACTATTGCTCTCTCGTCTAACATGTTGATGGCAAAATAACATGTTAGTAACAGTATAGGCTAAACCTCTTTATGAACACGGAAGTTGGTTTTAAAAAAGGTATATGAATATGGTTTTGGTCTTTGGTTGCATCTGGTGATATCAAAACGGTGTACTTAGTTGCACTATACATGATACTGAGGAGGGTGATAGTTAATAGAGGTAGCACACTTTAAAGGTGACAGATGATTATCACTGAAAAATTGTCTTTGATCAAACAATCATCCAATTGAGTCATCAAAGTGACTACATTAAAAGTGCACAAACTGGCTTTAGGAATAATATACAGTCCATGACATTGTTCTTAACATTTTCTACTTAATATAAGTACCCATCAATGGCATGCTTTTTAGAGCCATTAGTAACCAAATTTCTGTGTTTGGGCAAAATGCAACTAAAGAAGTATTAGAGAAGTGCTTTTGAGTTTCTAAAAAACCAAAAGACCAGTGATTGGAAAACTACTATGAAAAATCATGGAAATTCTTCAATATTAATTTTCTCAATCATGAGTGTCACAGTGAAGAAGAGAGAGGCATGGGATGCAAGATACAACTACATTTTAAGCATAGCAAAAATAAACCAAATTGCCTTTACTTTCACAATTTTAATTTATAAAATCTGGCATATGTTATAGCAAAAATAAACCAAATTGCCTTTACTTTCACAATTTTAATTTATAAAATCTGGCATATGTTAATGCATTTGTTTTGACCACACATAAGTTAATCCTAATTTTGAAACAAATGGGTATTAAAATTATCACTATTTTCATGTAATTTCCATTTAAAACTCAAACACACAATTGATACACTGATAGAATCAACCGCAGACAAAATGGACATACCGTATACAAATGAGAGCATTCGTGTTCTGGACGGTAACTGTTGTAGGTAGAGGAATTACAATTTCTTCCCTGAAATTGATGAAGGGATTTTGAATAAATATCAATTCATACAAATAATCAAAAGACTAACATGTATAATTAAGCGCTAGTTAATACGGAGTAGTAGGAAGTAGAGATGTAGAAGCAAAAAACAGAGACAATAACTAAAGTAGAAAAATAAAAAGACTGAATTTTGGTATTGATTGATAAACAAAGAAGAAGGAGAACAAAACCTTAGAGTCTTGGTGAGACGCTTCTCATGAATTGCTATACCGAAATACCGAATTATCACTTGCTGAAGAAGGAAAGAGATCAATAGAAAATCGTTCGCTTACCAAAGAAGGGAGGAGATCCGGTGAAGATCTGAGATAATCGAGAGATGTTTCCGCTTAGGAAGGAGATCAGGTGGGTATGTGAGATTATCGCTTAGAAAATCGTTTGCTTACCAAAGAAGGAGAAGAAATAATGCTTCTCCGCTGTGATCGGTGGAGGAGAGACGCGAGTTTCCTTCTGTGAAGAAGAGATCCCAGAGCAGAGTGAGAGTTTCCTTCTCCGCTGGTTTTCTTAAATCGGAGAAGTGACGTGTGGCAACCTACCTGTCAAAAAAATAGACCTTGCACATTGCCAAATTGCACATTCTTAGAGTATTAACTCTCAAATATTATATTAAAGGATGTTTGGTAAATGACGGTTCACCCAGCATTTGGCATCTTTGACCATAAACGGCGGATTGGACTAGTTAAACCGCCAAATTAATTGTTTGGATAATGGCATTTGGAATTGGCATTTAGAACCGAACAGCCAAAAATTGAAATGCCAATCCTAGCAGCATTTCATTTAGCTGTTCACCCCCTTTTCCGCTTCTTACCCTTTTTTCGGTGCTGCGTCTCTCTGCGATCCTCATTGCACCGGAAGTTTTCTTGACTTTCTCTCTGCAATTTCCTGACTAGTCGATAATGCTCATGTCATCTCAAAAGATGTTTGATACTTCAGATTGTGATGTTTGTCTCGAGTAATTTATTTAATTTTTTAAATTAAAATCGGTGTAGAATATTTTTATATATTTATGATATCATATTTAAAAAATTATTAAATAAAATATACTCCGTATCATGAATGGTTGTTATTTGTAGAATGATAAATGAGAAAAATATAAAAAAATCAACTTATAAAATATAAATGTAAATTCTCATTTCTTAAATTCAAAAAAAAACGAAGTAGTCTTTTTTGTCCAACAAAAAAATATATGTAAAGCATTTTCTTGTATAGCGTGTGTAATTTATCAAATTAAAAAAATATTTAAAATCATACACAAATTAACATAAATGGAGGTATGTCGTTATATGTAATTTTACTCATAAACAGCTAACTATAAACAGCTAAAGTAGCCAAACATCTAATTTTTAACAGCTAACAGAAACAACCGGTCAAAACAGCTAACTCAATCAGTCATTCAAACCAGCCAACATAAACAGTCAACAGCCAACTGCCATGTTCCAAACAAGGTCTTACATTTATATGTGGGCCTTAGAATTATAAAAAAGAAAACAAGAGTAAAGTAAGAAAATAAATATTGAAAATAAATCAAAATAGGAGTTATATGTTTTACTGTCGAAATAGAAGTTCAAATGCAATCATGACCATATACATTACCAAAAGATATTGTAGAATATCATATATAATGTCAAATTATCAGAGTGCAATCTTTTACTTAGGAGAAAAAAACATGGAATTCATATTTTGTATTTTCTTTATGTTTTACTCATATTAAAGGTGATTTCTTTTATACGTCCACCCTAATAATCAAGAGGTAAAATAGATTAATTATTCTTCTACCTTAGAATATCTAAATAAGAGGAGAATAAATAATCCTATTTTCTACTTCCAACTTTCCACCTTTATATTTTTTCACTTTAAAAAATTACCCTAACAATTGGTGAGTGAGTATCAAGCTGATCTTGAAATTTCCCGACAAATAGAGTATACCGAACAAAAAATGCTAAACCAAAAAAATACCAGGAAAAACCAAACCGTACCAAATTGAACGGTTGGTTTGGTATTTGGGAACGGTACGAGGTAACTTTCTATATCGAAAATTCTGAACCAAACATATTCACTAATATATTAAAAAAATATTATCTTTTTTATATTTCATCATTAAATAATAAGTTTATTTTGAAAATTTAAAGTTTTATTACGTTATATTACACTATTATTCAAATTATAATTATTTTGTAGATAAATCTAAAAGTACTAACGCGCATTTGAAACACTATCTTATTATCATTCATTTTTTACTTTGTGAAATACAAATTAAGTTTAATAAACATTTCTTACATTTAATTATTCATTTTTTTGTTTCTTATGACTATTTAATTACACTTTTGATTTTTCAAAATAAAGAGTTTTATTACACTTGAAAGTGTAAATTAGGTATGTATAGTCCAGGTATTTTTTTTGATAAACAATGAAATTAGGAAAAGGACTAAACTAGAAATACAACATCGAGAAAGTACCAAAATAGGAGCTTCATATTTTTATTTCTGAATTATGAGTTACAATGTCAATAATGTTATCACATAATTCCAAAAAACAATGTGAAATGTCAATATACCGTATCACATTGTCAAATTGGAAATTTTTATTTCGAGAATAAAAACACATCTCTCCTATTTTGGGATAATGACTATAGGGTATTTTTTTACTCCAATTTTGAGTGATTTTTTTTAATGAAATGTAAATACTTAGTTGAAAAAAGTTCAAAGTTCATATCAGTGAAATTTGCTCCAAACACGAGGCATTCCTTGAAATTCAGGTCATATACTTCCTCTGTCGATTTTTTTTCCATTTCAAATAACATGGAAAATTTCATCTTCTATAAACTTATTTTATTTAGAAATTAGTAAATGAGTAAAACTTACAATTTACATTGGTCAAATTAAATCAATAGTTTTAAAAAACAAAATGTGGCAATAATATTTTATATTTTCAAATGATTAATTTACAAATTACAGTGCAGTTGCCATATTTAACAACTCAATTTTAGCATTTGCCATTGGAATTGATTGAAATAAATTAACCTCTAAATCACTATAGAAATGCTGATACAAGGATATAGAAGCTCAATTTTTTTTCTTGGAGATGCTCCAAGGGTTTTTGTACCTACAGTTTGTAGGATAGAATCTTTACCATTTTTTCACATAATTTCGGCAAAATGAACTATTCTACAACAAAGCCCAGAATAAATGTTAAAATATTCTAATGTTCCCCATAACGAATCCTCAAAAAAAACATTGGTGTGGAGAAAAACCCAGCCTCAGTAAGTTGGGATTGATTGATCCACCTTCAAAGCATACTCATGAATTCCTCCAGCAACATTAAACACCCTCCTAAACCCCTGAAAAACATAGAAATTGTCAGGTTTAAACCAAAATGGCTGGTTGCCATATCATCTGCATCACCTTAAATAATTGACTTGAATCTTTTTTCCTCCATAATTAGAAACACTATAAATCATAGTAAAGTTCACTTTTTAGGTACTTATTTCAGTTCATGTTGTTTTGCATCCCCAAAACAAATCATGCCCTTAGGTCGCTTGTTAGCATTTGCCATAATTAATGCACAGAGAGAAAGAGATGGAGTGGGCAGTACATATGATTTACAGTATTTTACTCCGCTCATGCACTGTCCATAGTACTTTAAGAACGCGCTAGATAACAGTTATTTTCCATTAAAGATCGAAATTTCCCATGAAGAGGAAACATGATTGAAAACAAACATGGATATATTGATACAGGTTTCAAAAAGGTTTCTACAATGTATATACTTAGTAAGAAAACCCTTTTGGCCCACACGGATACATCGAAACAGATATGGAAGAGAAACTCAAAGTACAACAAAAGAACCATAGAAGGACCCACGAAAGGATCCCCACGTACGACTGATAGTTAAAGACAACGTGTGTGTGTGTGTACATATAATGCGCCTGCATTTCCAGTAGACATAAAAGAGTAATTATTGAGACTGCTTTAATTTTACATAATTAATGCACGAAATCAAAATGACCTGTTAAAATTTTCTTGCTTCTTACTTTCTATGATGCTTTGGGATGTAAATGAAGCAATGCAACAGGTTCTTACTTTCTATAATATCTTTGTAGTGTTGTGTACATCTTTAACTATTAAACCTTCAAAAGAAGTTTACACTTTCACTTTACAGGGTTAAAAAAAGTGTTAACAATTACAAAGTGTGGTTGGAATTCGTTAGAAGAGAGAAAATTGATGAGTAGTTAAATTGGAGATATGTAAGGTTTATTTTAGGACGGAGAAAAAAGAAAAGTGCGAATTCTTTTTTTTGGGACAGATAGAAAATTAAAAAATTGCATGTGTGTTAACAACTTAACAATCAGTGCGTGTGCAATTTAGATACTCCCTCCGTCCGGAAAAAACCTTCCCAATTGGACTTTTTCTCATTTTTTTTGAATGGTTGACTTATGAGTTGAAATTGCTAAAATGCCCTTAAAAAGGCTAGTGAATGAATAAGGAAGCTGGCCATCCCTGGTTCTGACCTTCGCTGGCCCCGCAGCCAACTTGAGCCCCACCACTGCCCCTTCACCGCCCGTGCTCCGACCATCTTCCCCAGTCCCCACCACCACCGCTAGCCCAGCCCTTGCCACCACCATCAGTCTTTTTATCGCCGCCAACCCCAGTACCCACCACCGCTGGCATCCTCACAATCATGGTCAGCCCCAACACTACCCCATGTCCCATCATCACTACCATGGAACAAATCTAAAATAAATAACAAGGAGAAAGGGGTGGTGGTGTAGATCTATAAGAAATAATGAGTAGTAGTATAGATCTACACTCATCGTCACGTTAGTCACCACAATCGCCACCACCATCACTGCCATAGCCGAGATCTGGAAGAAAGACGAAGAAGGAGGAGGGAAAAAAGATGGAGGGGGAGAGAGAGGAGAATAGAAGGAAGAGAAGCAAGAATCAAGGTAGAGAGAGAGGAGAAGAGAAGGTCTGAGAGAGGAGGAGGAAGAGATGAGGCAAATGAAAATGAATGGAAGAAAATGACGAGGAGATGGAGTGGGAAGGCGGTGAAAAAAGGATGGAGAGGTGGAGGAGGAAAGAGAAAGAAAGAAAAAAGAATAGGATGAAAAGAAAAAAAATAAAGGTTATTAATGTGAAGGGTATTTTTGGAAGAATTGGGGTTAAAATTAGAAATGGGAAGATTATTTCTGGACGAGAAAAAAGGAGAAACGGGAAGATTATTTCCAGACGGAGGGAGTATTATAAAGTCAAGGATTTGATTCTTAAATGATGCATTTTTTTAAAAAACAAATCTTCACTCATTTACCCAAATGTAGTCCTACAATTGGTTGTTTAAATGATCTAACATTTCTAGTGTAAATACTATCAAATGGGCGTGAATGGAGCATGATTATGGTTAGAAAGCACTGTTGTAAACATTCTAGGCATGGTTGTTAAGTCGACAAGTCGAGTCGAGTCGGTGACGGGAAGACTAGTGGACTAGTCGACAAATCACAATTAGTATTTAAATTTTTAACATTTATCTACATTAACCCAACATGAATATATGTGTGTGTGTGTGACCAAATACCATAACCAAAGCAAACTTATGTTTAAAGATAGCACATAAAGTCACTTAACAAAGAGTACATAACAGATATCCTTCAATCTTGAAAAATAACACACCAAGAAAGATAATTAGCATGAATATGTAGATGTAGATGGAACAGCTGGGGGTTGAGTAGATGGACTGTCGATTCACTGGATTGCGTCGGAGGCTGTGTTTTATCGGAAATTTTAAAAATTAATGAAATTTGGGTCGGGTCGGGTCAGATTGGGTTAGGTCAAATTGGGCAATTTTTATTCACCGACTAGGCGTCGCCTACGCGTGCCTAAGCGTCGCTTTGCACGCCCTATCGCATAGTCTGACCTAGTCGCTAGTCGAAGAGCAAGTCACCAATCCAAAATTGCCCGGACGACTAGTCGTCG